GCAGAAAGAGGTAAAGTTACTTGTCTAAGGTCACTCAGCTGGTGCATGGTGGAAACCATGCCCAGGTGCTCTGAATGCAGAGTCCACGTCCTTCTGGTTATAAACTCAGTGTGTGCCCTTGGCCAGTCCCTGTTCCGCCTCAGGGCCCCAGTGTTCTCACCCGCACAGTGAAGTCTCCCAGCTGACAAGGCAGCTCTAACTGCCAGCCACGTGAGTGCGCCATCCTGGCTGCTCCGGCTCAGTGGGCCTCCTGACAACCCAGAGAATCAGGAGAGATAATAGAGTGGACTTATTTTAAGCCATTTGTTGCACAGCAATAGGTAAGTAAAATAGCACTGAGAAACAAACATCCTTTGAGTGCCTACTGTGAACTAGACATTATGTTAGAAACCAGAAGCAGCTCAGGATTTGTCTCTGCATTCAGAGCCTGGTAGGGACCTTTAACTTCCTCCTGCTGTGGCCTGAACCGGCCAGGCAGCGGCAGGTAGCAGCAGGTAGCGTCTCTCCAGGGACAGCCTCAGCAGCCAGGACGACGCACCCAGAGCCCGGCTGAGGCAGCGCAGGCTGGGTCCCGAGCAGGGCTGCCCGGGAGGCTCTGCATGTCAGGTCTTCCCCCGTGGGGTGTGCAGAGGGTGCCAGGGGCTCCTCAGCAGGTGGGCAGTGCATGGCCTCTCTGCAAGAGGGGATGGCAACCAGCTTTAGGGTCCTACAGGGGCAGAAGAGAGGCTCTTAGCCAGGGCAAGGACAAAACCAACTGCACGTCAGGGAGAGCGCGACAGGGCTGAGGGCAAGGAAGGCTGCCTGCTCTGGTCGGAATGTACACACTCAGAGCTTGGTGTGAGCTGACCCTTGCCAACCTCGGCCCTGCACGCGTCCAGCATGCCTCCTCGCTTCTTTCTGCGGGGGAAGTCCTTCCTACTCCCTCACCCTCCCCTGCTGGTTCGCCCGTTTGTCCCCTGCAACGCCTCTGGGGAGTATGCAGTAGGTACTAAAGTGTTAATTCTCTTCCTCTCACGGTTTTGGAGATCTGGGAATACAGAGCTTCAGTAAAAACATTTTTTTCTTTTACTTTTGAAATGAAAGGGAGATGTTTAGTTTCTTAATTTTTACTTGGATGAAGCAACTACCTTTTCAGCAATGAGTCTTAGTTATAGTAACATTACTTTTAGAAAAAAATAACCTTGTGCTGCTGATATGTGGATGTATCCTCTTTGGCATTTTTTAAAGGAAATAAAAATTGTGTTTTAAAATATTAAACACATAAGAAACAAGCCAGCAATGTAATGCCCCAATGAATCCTGAAAATTTATTATTTGGGAGAATATCAGATATTGATCCTTTGTTTTACAGATAGTGATAATAATCAGAAAATATACATTTTGAAATGAAAGTCAAAAGAATAATTACATATAATACAGACTACAGATACTTTATTTGTACATAAGCAAAGCAGTACTAAAAGCATATTTATGTGTCCACAATGCGTGAACGTGGCAATTTTGTGTGTAAAGCTGCAGCAACTCAAATACTCCTTGGGTCAATAAGGAAAGACAGATTTGAGAAATACGTTTAGGGCCATCACCATGTTTGGCTGTAAACCTGTTTTTTAATCTTTCCCTTCCCCCCATATATATATGTATATACTTTATTGCCTTTATATTTCTGCTGGTTTAATATAATTAGTATACTAAATAGTAATCTGCATTTATTTGGTTTCTAAAAACATATAAAATGCATTGGAACAGAGCTCCCGCAGCTTTCAAGCATCACTGTCCTGGCACCGAGAGCTGACTCTGGAAACGTAAAGCAGCAATACTGAATGCATAGTGATTGTTTTGTCTTCTCCATACAGCTGATGGCCTTCACCCAAAACTTCAAAACACTGTAGCGAAGAGTATAAACATGCAATTAAAAAATGGACATAATATAAAAGTAACATTTATGAGCAAAATTTTACACAATATAGATTAATAAAGACAACTTTAGTAGGTAGAAGAGGGATGTGAACACAGCACTGTTATTTACATATAAATTAAGGCCCAATTTTTCCAAGGCGATACACACAGGGAACTGCCCAGCTGCCCGTACCCTCTGCACACCTGAAATCGGTTTTGCTTTTTTCCATGTTATTTCCTCAATCCATTATTATAATTCTAATTTGGAAAGATGTTCACAGAACAGGTTTTAATAAAGTTTCTTGTTTTGCTCTTATTCACAAAGAAAATTTTCTTTTAATGCAGGTAAAAAATTTCCTTATGCCCTGGACACAAATATTTATTTGCTCTTCTTAAACACTGTTAAAATTCACATTTCACACCGTAAGTCCTGTATTTCTACCATATCAGTCTTGTTTCAGCTCTAGTTTATGACAAATTATGACTAATTTGAACTGTGGGAGTTGATGGTTAGTTTAGTGATGACTGGGGAAATTGAATGAAATGGGTTGTTCCTATTAATACCAACTGCAGCCTCCCATATGAGTTCCCTGTACATAAAGACAAAATACAAATGCTAATAAACCAAAGTTTCGCATAAGAACGAAAAAAGGACTGTGGCAGCCCACGGCAGATCATTCTATGAGGATGACAGATACTCAAAGGGCCATACATACTAATGCTATTTCAAATTATTGCTTGATTAAAAACAAAAACTTATCTTCTCATGTATTTAATACTGGTAGAAAAACCACAATAAAAGAACTTGCAGTATAACAACAAAAAACTTGTCCTCTTAATTTAGTATTTGGAACCTGAATATGCCCCAGATGCAGGATTCTGTATCTGGCATTTTTGTGCACTATTGCACTCCCCAGCCCCGCACTGTATCCAATGGTATGGCACTTAATCGAACTCATTTGTATTCACAATTGATAAAAATGATTAGGGACAACTAAAATATTTTTAAGATGTTCTAGGGAAATGAGTTTTCTTGCATTATTTTAAAAACACACTTAGAAAATATGTCTTAGAGGTGTGCTTCCAGAAGTAATATAACTAATTAGAAAGTACAGCTGCTCAACGTAGTCATCAAATTCATGTTTGTATACTCTCCTCATCCAGGAAATAGTATTTTCACCCGTAGTGAGATCCCTAACGATTGTCTGGCAGCCTGAGAACCCGGATGAAGCTGTCAGAGAGGTCGCGTGCGGCGCTGGGCTAGGGCGCCCCAGACCGCCACAGCGCGGGGTGCTGCCAGGCCCCTCGCACACTTACGAGATGAATGCTGGTAATAGTTCGCAACAATCAGCTTGGATATTGACTTTGTGTTTCTCACGGCATGCCAAGGCATCTTTTCGTTTTACGATTGAAAACTTCAATAAATCTTCAGTTTAACATTTTGATTTACATAGAATGTGATCAATTTATAAAAATATTTTTCTTTGTGAATAAGATCACAATTTCTCTGAATAACAATAAGAAAATGACTCAGTATAGGATGGAACCCTTTAAAAATAAGGCATATATCAGGCATACACAAATCATTATTGTCACAAAATCTACAAATTATTTTGATTTTTTAAATTCTCATAATTTTTATCACATGTATATATGAAATAACTATTATAAATTGGGAGGAAATGTATACAGGTTGTGGTTATTTAGGTAAGAATCATTTATTTCTCAAGTTATTTGCAAGTAGTATAATGGCAAGGTCAACTCAATAACTCCAAGAACCCAAAGAAAATAATATCTTTAGTTGAGGACTGCCATTTAGCTGGGCTAGAAAAGGCAACTCTGCATTATTACTTTCAATTCTCTAGAAGCTTCTATATATTTTCATAGCCATTCTTATAATTTTCCATTGGAAACCTAAATATAGCAGCATTCTCAGCATTCATTAAATCAAAAATAAGTCAAATGTGTTAAAACATCCAAAGCTGCCCTCATGCATAAGCTATAAACTTACATCTTTTTATTGTTACCATGGCATTAATCTACTAATCCACTGTTACTTTGTTGCATGTAAATAATACAGAGAATGTATTTTCCTCAGAATTAGAACCTATAAATTTCAGAAAAAGGTCTGAATTTTACATTGTACCAAATTTTGATCAGAGGGAATGTGAATATGGCTAACAGGTATCTGACCACATACATCCATTTAGGTACTACCTGTGAGTCTTAGTTAAATCACCACTCATGGGAGGAGAGCTGACTTGTGGTTTTATAAATAAGAAAATATATGTACAAATGGAGATTAATATCCTATAAAAGTCAAGCTCAAAAATGAAAACAAACACTGATTTTAACTTTATTTCCGTGGTAAAAAGTACCTAACTCCAAACCACTTTCTCTGTAAGTGACTGGAGAAATCGCAATAGTCCATAATTTACAGAGTAAACTTATGGGCGCTTACACCGAAAGATCATACAAATGAAGTGGGCTATTTTAAGAACCTATCACTTAAAGCAACCTTCCTGAAGTAGACTGACCTGGTCCTCAGATGTCTCCGATGTACGCTTTATGGCAACTCTGAGGATCTATGAGAGTGAAACGGTAAGGCAGGGCAGAAACGTAACACGACAGTGCATTAGGAACTGCCTGGCCTGTCTGGATATTCAACATTCCCATCTTTGTTCAACGGTGTCGGAAGCACTGCAAACCTTTTGATCATATACAATCTACCTCATGAAAATATTTCTGTTCTGGTATGTGGTCATTCATATACTGAAAATATTGTAAAGAAAAGATTAAACTCCAGATTAAAAAGAAAACCTGAATTATTTCACCCAATCAAACAATGGCTAGGACAAATTCACAAAATAAATGCAAGTGGGTTCTTTAGGAGTTAGTTTCAACGGCGGAGCACCCTACGACACCTGCAAATCAGTCGTGTTCGGCTGGAGTCTGGCAACGTGCACACACAGTCATACTCACACAGTAAGTCATGTAATTCCGTCACAAGAGAAGTATTGATAAAAAATATTAAAACATCAACATTCACACATTAATTGATTACATGGAATAAATTAAACTAAGCCAGTCACATATGTCTCTTCATTCTTTTAAGTCACGGTTTTATTTATGTATACATACAGTATAATACTTTCTAATGCTCTCAAAATGCTACAAATAAAAATGAAGGCTTTGTATTACAGCTGTTGGATAAACATGTCAACACTGTTGATGTGTGAAAACATAGTTTCTTTGTTCTTTAGCATCAGTGCACAGGGTATGGCTCCAAGTGGTATGCAATTTAGGACAGAAAAAAGATACGGTGGCTTGTGAAATAGATCCTCTGCTCATCATTGGCACAAATCAAAGAAAGAATTTTCACTGTCCATGGTACCTTTATTGGGTCCCTCCCCTAAAGACAGGTAATGTTATACATATATGCCTTCAGGGTTAAAACCAGATGAGATGGGATTCTGCAGAATACGAAGATTACTGGGGAGCTGCCGAGACGAGCCAGGACGCTTCAGGGACCCAGACTGGAATGGTGCCTCTACACAGGAAACAAAGAAAGTCGTCTGAGGGACTCATCGGCTTGGGAGCACTGTGCAATATGACAAATTAGAATTTCTCCTGCCCTAAGGAATCAAAGAACATGTCATGACAATTACAGCCCCTGTGGGTCCTGGGGTGACGGAAGAAGGCTAACTGTGCTTGACCATCTCAGGTGATAAACCAAGATTTCAGTGATTTGAACACTTAACGATCTTCTAAAGAAGGTGAGCAATTTGATTCTCTTTCTTGGTTGTTCAGACCATATTTATATGTTGACTTAGAAGTATCTTTTAAATAACAGCTCAAATTTATTAATTTTAGGAGAGGAAGAAGGGGCATTAAAAAAAAAAGAAACTAAAATTCAGACTGGGACTCACACTTTAGGAAACTAATATAAGATTTGGTGATATCATGCTCATTTAGGTAAATAAATAACTTAAATATTATCAATTTTCCATGGAAACAGTTAAATATATCAAACAGTTTATAAAAATGACCCAAGAATTAGCTTTGAATGGGTTGGATGACACTTTTACTGAATGTAAGAAATTTATGTAAACATAACTAGTGAGAAGTGGGGGGGAGAGGAGCAAATTTCTCAACATCTTACCCCTTTCTATGTCTGCATGCGAGGCCTCTACTTCAATGGGCTCTGCCGGCAGAACGGTCACTTTTGTCCCTGTCTGCTGGATAAATTGCTGGAGATTGACTTGCCGCAGCTCTTTCGTCAACTGCTCCAGTTCTTGTTCTTTGTCCTAGATAGAATTTTTTTTTAATTTGAGGATTCAGTATTGGCTGGCTAAAAGACATCCTGGTGACAGTCCATCTGCTACAGGGGTTAAATGTGGGATACCTGCTTCCACAAGGACACATTTAACAAATCTGGCTTATTGCAATAACAATGGGCTAAAGAGGTTGCTTTCTGTGTGGCATGGGCCAAAAAAGAAGCAAGTCTGGCCTCTTAAATGTGATGCTTTTTTCTGTACGGGATACTCTATGTACCCGATGAAATAAATACGACATGTCAATAAAATACTGGTTTCTATCCATTGCAGTGTTTTACAGCAATCTTGCAAAGCTGTTAACAATTAAATTTCCGCTACTGCACACTTCATAAGTGACTGCAAAATGAACGGTCGTTTGGTCCATGAGATTCAAGTTCTTGTGTTTTGTAAACTGTAAGTTCTCATGGGATCCCGTGACTGAGATTTATAGCACAGCCTGAGGAAAGCAGGATTCCCGCCGGAGTCTCACCACGGGGCTTTTATGTCTTTGAAGAAGGCGGTTTGGAGAACTGAGAAGCCCTAAGGAAAGGAGATCAAGGTTGGACAGCTGGAAGGGTCTAAAAGCAAGGAGCCGCATTTGTTCTATGATTACAGTGGATTTTCTCCCCTTTCTCTCCTTTTTTGCACTGTAAGAAAGTGTCAAGGCCCCACCGAGGCTGGGTCTGTCTGAGGACTGGGTAGGGGCAGGGAATACACTGAGGAAAGAGGGAGGGTAGCGGGTACTTGGAAATATGTTGTTAGTTTGATTATTAGGTATCTTTCACCAGCTAGTGGGATTTACTAGCAACCACGGACATAAATTAGTGTTTCCTGTAAGTAACCTCAAAGGCAACACAATTTCCGATTGTACCCTGAAGTGTCAAAATGAATTCAAAGAATAAAATACTGACAAATGAGAGGTTAACAACCTTCTACTGAGTGAGAAATTCCAGACTGTCAAAATTGGAGGGGAGGGAAGTTTCTCTCTCACTGTATATAATGACAGAGAAATAACATCACAGTTCTTCCTGAAACCTCAGCTTTCTCTGTTTTGGGAACGGTTCATATTCTAAAGCAGCTCTTTTTAAACTTCAGTGTGCACAGGTACTATTTGGAGATCTTGTTATAACACAGACTGTGAATTTCTAACAAGTGCGCCCCGGAGCCGCGTGGCTTTGAAGAGCAAGCCCCTAAGCCAGCACTGTCCAGAGCGGCAGGCTCAAGGCTCCAGGCAGGCTCGAGGCACGTGTTGCTGAGCACTTGGAATGTGCCCAGCTGGGACTGAAAACAACTTTAAAATTATTTAATATTTATAAACTGCTTTACCGAATATCATTTAATTTTAATTAATTTAAGTAGCCATGTTATAATCAACGGTGTGTCTTCCTCATGTCAAATCAACTGATACCTCTTTGCAACTCACAAAACATCACCTCATTTTCTTTTCAAGAATATGGGTATCCAAGAAATGTAGGCTGAGCCATCAGGGCACATGTCACAAAATACAAATGTTCTTATACTCAAACCTGAGAGAGGGAAAATATCAGAGAGGAGCCTTTGTGCCCCTTTCCTCTGCAAAGCAAAGGAGGGGACCGTGGACGGTGGCGCTGGGGGCAGGGGAAAGGAAGGGAAAGGAGATGGGCTTAGCGACAGTGCAGAAGTGAACGGATGAGCCGCCAGCTAGCCACACAATCCTTGGCAATCTCTTCTGGTTTTGGGTTTCTCTACCTCTGAAAGAGGGCCGGATTCTCTCTCTTATCATTAGTGCCCATTCCAGCTGAGATTCCAGTTTCCTATATCCAATTACCTAAGGCTACAACTGCCACAGTAAGACCAGCTCCTCCCAAGGAGCAAGGATGAGTGTGGCTTTGGCCACATCTTTGTTTTGGTTTCACATCTAAGCTTTATGGTAAGTCACGAGAATTCTAAAACAGATCGTAAACTAAGGAAGGTGTCTAACTTTAAATGTCAGAGAAAATGGACAGTCACTAAGGATGTCAAAAAATAGATGAACTCTTAAATACAGATGAAACATTCTCTTTGTAAAAATGTCCTTACCTGTAGTCGTTTGGTGGCTTGTCCAAGAGATCTTTCCACAGCTTTAATACCATTTTCCAGTCTCAGACTCTGCTGGCCTTGAATGTCAATTTCCCCTTTGACCTTACCAATTTTTCCTTTAACCTCTTCTTCATTGACTTGTGCCTCCTGGACTTCCCGTTGCAATTTTTCTGCCTCAAGACCGCTTTCCATAGTCTGGATCTGGGCCAAATAGTCCTTTAATTTGCTCTCACATTCTGTTATCTTCTGTCTTATTTCTTGCAGTTGATCCTTCAGCTGTTTTTCATTTTCCTGTTCAATCTGTAGTTCATTTTCCCAAAATTCTTCTTCTTCAATTTCTACATCATTTCTTTTGATCTTTTGCTCTAGGCGGACAATTTCCTCTTCAAGGTTAGAATTATATTTTTGCTCCCAAAATCGTATTTCTATTTCATTTGATTTTAGCTCTTTCTCAATGGATTGAAGCTTCTCTGTCTGCAAATGGATCAGCTTCTTTAATTCATCTGCTGTTGTTTTGCAGTTATTCAGCACCTTTTGCTTAAATTCAGTTTCTTTACCTTTTCCAAAAATTTCCATTAATCCTTTGGCACCTCCTGTAAATGTTAATGATTTCCGTTTAGGTTCTCTCCGTTTGATTGATTTGTCAATCTGAGGCCTCAGTTTGGCTAAAGGGGGCAAACTCTGCCTGTATAAAGTTCTCTCAGGAATCCGAGCCACACTATCTGAAGTGGGTCGCTCGCTGAGCGATGGCCCTGTTCGACGTAAAATAAGCTGTACATCACTAGCATACTGCCCCCACTTGTTTAAGGATATGATAGGGTTTTCGTGAGGTGCCAAATGTCTTTCGGTATCTCTCCATTTTTCTATGAGAGTGTACCTTCCAGTTCGACCTAGATCAAAAAGATAAGAATAAACTGTCAAAATGGCATGTGCAATAGCTAACCTAATGAAACAGAGGGTGCTGTTTGAGAATCTTGTCTTCTTGGTCAGCATCAAGGTCCAGCCCGTGCTGCCTGTGAAACTTGCACCTGAACGTTGAACTCCTTAAGATATGTAACAGCATAAACTTACAGGATGCGAACTGCATATTCTCTTCAGGCTTGCTTAGTAATTCAACTTCATACTGTAACCTCAGTGAGAATCTTATACTTCTGTCAAATACCCAAGTACCCAGACCTTCTTGCTCGGGGCAAGGCCTCCAGCTGAAACAAAGGAGGACACTAGAACACCCACTGCAGTGGCGAGGGCCTAGTCCCAGGAACTAGGTAGAATTTCAAAATCCAAATAAACTTCCACTTGGTAAATCCTTTGCTTTCTCTGCACATCAGGGCTTGGGGAGGTTGCAGGCCCATTTCTCCACCTGAAAGGAGACATGAAGCCAGTGGAGGACTTGCTACGCAGCTACCAAGCAGCTGGACAGGTCTTTCCTCTGTCAGCCCATGAGAGTTTGGCAACCCCCCAATTTACACATCTGGTATCTTCCTGCACACCTGTGGCAAATAAGAAGAAAATCACCTCACTAAATACAACCCTCCAAAATAATTTCATATAAAAAGAGGGGCCTGAAGGGAGGGGCTTGTTCAATTTTAATAGTAATAGCTTCAAAGATTCTTTTGAAAAATTTAAAAGGCTGCCCTGGCTGGTGTGGCTCAGTGGACTGCATGCTGACCTGTGAACCAAAGGGTCGCTGGTTCGATTCCCAGTCAGGGCACATGCCTGGGTTGTGGGCCAGGTTCCCAGCAGGGGGAAGGAGTGTGAGAGGCAACTACACATTGATGTCTCTCTCTCTCTTCCTCCCTCCCTTCTCCCCCTCTAAAAATAAATATATAAAATAAAAATGTAAAAGGCAAAAATAGTATTAAAAACAAAAACAGAGTAAAATCACATTTTAATTAAAAAAATATATACTGAACCTAACTAGTAATTATGGAACATAAAATTTCAGAAGACAATGTAATGCCTTTAGCTTAGACATACTCCTAAATATTTCTACTTATGGTGAGTAGTTGGGATGGATTATATTAATTTTGTTAAAAGTGCCCATTAGACACCGAAACTAATAGAATATTTTATGTTAACTATATCTCAATAACAAGAAGTGTCCATTAGTAGTTAATGTTATTACAAAGAAAAAAAACTGCCCCTACCATCTAGCCATTGTAGTTTTCTTTTTTAATTCTCACTGATGATATATTTATTGATTTTAGAGAAAGAGAAAGGGAGGGAGGGAAGAAGTGAGGGGGGTGTAGAGAGAGAGAGGGTGGGGGCATTGATTGGTTGTCCCCAGTATGTGCCCCAACCAGGGACAAACCCACAACCTTTTTAGTAACAAAGCTCCAACTAACTTGAGCCACCCAGCCAGGGCTTCCCTGCCTTCTTTTTTAATTTCATTAGCTTCTGAACCAACAGTAAGTAGTATTTTCTCAATTACTATCTCATTAAATGGAGATCTGGATATGTAAATACAAACACCGTGTCTGCAACTCACCAGTAGCACATGAAAAATGATACTGCTTTAGGCATACGCAGTGTTCTCCTTTAAATCACTTACTGGAAGTAGCATAATTTTACTTCTATATGGGGCCAGTGGCAATACCTTACAGTTATAAGAGTGAGAGTCAAATGTAATAAGCACCTACCATAACACCTGGCCCATAGTTGGTATTCAGTACATGGAAGCTAGTATTGAAGACATTGTTATTCATATAACAAAAGGGCTGACCAGAGACCTCCTCTACATAGGGGTATAACATGACAATCTGACTTAAAAAAAAAAAAATTCCTTAAGCAATTTTCAGCAACTCCCAACCACGGAGAGAGGGGAAAGGACAAAAGCTCTGGAGTTCTAATCTGCCTCTGCCATCTATTTACATGATTTGCACAAATTATTACATTTCCTTTAGCTTCAGTTTCCTCATCAATAGGGTAAGAGTATTTTCGTACCTAACAATGTTGTTGTGACAGTCAAGGAGATGTAAAATATAAAAATGTTTTGTAAAGCTGAAAAGTGCTACACAAATATTAGTTGTTATTATTATGAAAAATACCTGGGCAAACAAAGGGAATGGAAAAGAAAGCCTTAGCATATTGGATTGGCTTCCCGAAATCTAATTGGTTTCTAATGATTTTCGGGTTAAAAATTACTGGAATCACCCCAAGAAAAGCCACATGACAAATCTGCAAGGCACACATCCCTTTGAAGATCACAGCACTTTGTGTTCCAGGCCCCATGGCTTACTAACTGCTTTCAGGTTCTCTCTCCTGCCACTGGACCTCTGTGCCCTCATCATAATATGAGGGGTTAGACTAGATCGGTAGAGCCCCTCGCATGCTATCAGGCCAATAAAGTATTTTCAAAAGGAAAACTCGGTCTTTATATTATAAAAGCTAAATTAAAAATTTAAAAGACTCTAATTTAGTCATAATGAAATATGAAGCTGATTTTTCCAAAGCTTAATGGTATGCTGCCCTCTAAGAATGTCTTGGTAGATTATTTAAAATTGCTTTTACTGCCAGTTTCCCTTTTTGTCAAATAATGCACGATCAGTGCAGTCAGGCAAAAAGAAAAAAAATTCCATACAGCAATATTTAAAAAAAAAGGTAAATGAATTAGTAGCTTTGATTTTTATTATGGAAATTGGCTTTTAGGTAGTCTATGTAAAAATTAAATCCCATAGTCATTTTTAAAAAAGATTTTATTTTTAGAGAGGGGGAAGAAAAAAGAGAGGGAGAGAAACACTGATCGATTGCCTCTTTCTTGCCCCTAATGTGGGACCTGGCCCACAACCCAGGCCTGTGCCCTGACCTGGAATTGAACTGGAGACCTTTCATTTTGTGGGACAATCCCCAACCCACTGAGCCGCACTATCAGGGCCCATAATCATTGCTTTTAACACCTGTTCTCAGCCAGGGCCTTGCCATTTCTCCTGCGAAACTCCCTGCAGTCATTTTATTAAATGGATAAATTTAGTTCTATCTTGCATACTACCATGATGTAGCTTTAAAACTAATAAAAAGGAGTATCTATCTATCTGTGGCATTTATAGTTTAAGACATTTTGGTACCTAGGACCATGTACCACATTAAGTAATGGTAGATAAAATCTTAACTATACTTTTGAATAGTTGAACCAACTGAGTGTAATCCCAAGAATCATTAACTTCATATAATGAGGAAAATCACATGGATTTTAATGCATGAGTGGAATCTCACTGGATGACTGACATAACTTAAAAGGAAATAACAGATTATGCTCACCCAGCTTAAAGCACAATGTATCACTCATAAGTAATGTCAAGTTTTTGAAATATACCCAAAACTCAAATATTTAAATATGGGTCATCCAGAAATATTATGCCCTTATTTCAACCTTCTTTTTTTTTCTTTTACAACCATTTTTCAAAAACAATTGCTTTTTGAAAAATTTTTGAAGTTCCTCCTTAAAAACAAACCTAAAATCATCATTTAAAAGTCACATCTTGTTATTTATTCAACAAATATATGTTGAACAACAAATATCTGTCAAAAATAATGTCAGACCCTGAAGATATACATTCTATTAAACATCGTGATCATCAATTCTCCTCATAAGTTTTAGTTTTGACATCTGACTTTTTTCTTCAGTATCAAATCCTCCTTACACCAAAGATGAATACTGTACATTATTCAAAAGTACATGACAGAGAGCTGGCTCCCCTGAATTTAATGCTAACATATCTTTTTGTTTCTGGATATATTGGAAGTAGTGCCAGTAACACCTTATTCTTTATCCTACCCCACTGAATTATTCCGATAATTATTCAGATGCTTTGCTAAGCTATAAAAATTTTGATTCTTACGCACACTCTAGTGAATATGACTAATCCTTTCCATAATCATTTAGAATTCTTAAAATGAGCATTGATTTGGGCAACAGAGCTTACATGGTATTATTTCATAATCTGTGAAATGCCTCTGGTGCTTTTTTATACAGAACATATGCAATCTTAATTGGTTCTGTGAGTTAAGCACTCACTATGGGTATTATCCTTAATTTACCAGTGATGAAATAAAATCTTAAAAAGTTAAAATTTCCGATGATATACTGCTATTCTGCAAATTCACCAATGAATCTTTCTTAAGTCCTGAGTGTAGTTATCAAGGTAATTTTTACCGTACAGCATTTATTTCATGATGACAGTGAGACAAAAATCTCTCTGACTGTAACCTGTCAGCCAGCGGTGCATTCAACCTGCAGTTACATTATTCACCGTCTATTTTCCCTGCGTGTTGATGAGAATGCCACATAATCACAGAATTACTGCCTATTAATTTAGGCCTGCATGCAGCCCAGGATGGCTGTGAATGGGACATAACACAAAATCGTAAACTTAAAACATTTTATTGTTTTGTGATTACGTGTTGCAATGTATTTAGTGTGTGACCCAAGACAACTCTTCTTCTTCCAGTGTGGCCCAGAGATGCCAAAAAGTTGGACACCCCAATTTAGGACCTACCTAGGATTATATGATATGCTTATTACTATTAAAAATAATAAAAACATTAATTGATTTCATAATGATTAACATTTATTATGCCTACTATTTGATGTATTGTGCTAGTTACTTTCTATAGATAAAATTAATCAAAATAACAGCTAACTCTTAACACTATAATCGATTAAAATTCGGGGGATTGTTTGTTAATGCAGCATAATTGAATCCATCCTGACCAATGCAGGCTCGGGATTACACAGGTTCACAGTCATTAAAATTGAGAATGATTACTTATTATAACTATAACTGGAGAGGAGGGCCTTGGTTATTTAAAAAAAAAAAACAACAGTATATTTTACTACCAAAGGTGCTTATTTCTTTTTCAGTGAAATTTAATCAAATATTTTTGAACAGTT